GGCAAGTCCGGGTGTGCCGTGGGATTTTGTGACAACCATACGTTATTATTGCAATATATAACTACACAAAAATAATATTTTTTTTATTTACTATAATATCAGTACTTTGTAGGTTTATATGTACGTAATCTGCGCGACTTGCGCGTCCACATCTCCACGTGCAGTGCTGCATAAACATGGCTGAGTCAGCGATAACTTTCGAGGGGTGGAGGTATGCCCATTACTTTGAGTTCGTCCGAAGAATAGACAGGAATGTGACGGTGAGGTGCAAACTGTGTCCAGGCCAGAAGCTGTTATCCACTGCTGTAAACACCACGTCAAACCTCAACAAGCTCCTGCAAAGAACACATGCTACGGTGAAGCTCCCGCACAGCTATTTGTTGTTTGTTTATATCATGTCGTCTGTTCTTCTTCTCTGTTTTCCGGTTGTTGCCGGTTTTGAATGACAAATACACACTGCCGCCGCCTGCTGGTAAGGAGAGTTATTGCTACTCAGGCATGCGCAAGTTCGTACGTGCTCGGCGAGTAAAGTAACGAGTTACTTTATGTAGATAGTAACGAAGTAGTGTAATATATTACTTTTTTTAAAGTAATATGTAATATATTTAAAAAAAAATAGTAACCCCATCTCTGGAGTTGGCGTTCTCTACTCTGATTTACATGAAGAACAACAGGAGGTCACGGGACTCACGGCTCTCTGTTGAACAGGACTTGCGAGTGGCCCTCTCCTCAGTGCCACCAAAAATAAAAAAAATAATTTCTGAAATATTTCATGAGTAATATAGTTGTCTTTGTCACATTTTATTTGGCATTAGTAAATAATTATGCACATTTACAGATATTTTACATGATATGAGTGATAACACGTGTTATAAGGGCTATTTTGCACAATAGGTGTGCCTTGAGATTTTTACTTGTCCTTTGGTGTGCCTTGGGCACAAAAAGTTTGGGAACCACTGCTCTAGAGCATCAGATGGGATGAGCTCTTACTTCAGAAACCCTACAGCAAGATTTAACCTACATGCATCTGAATTCTTGCCTCATCAAGCCCAAACCTCTATTCCCAGACAAAGTATACAGACACATGTGCAGGGACATGTTGACATCACACCACCTGTAATCAACAATGGTAATCAAGGTGACATCTATAACCTAATCCAGAGGCAAAATGACATCACTGCTATGCTGGCTCAACAACATCTCACTTCTACTTTACCTCCAAGAGACATTCCTGTTTATGATGGTGACTTATTGCAGTTTGAAGCCTTCATCCGTGCATTTGAAAGAGGAGTAGAGCTGCAAACTAATGATGAAAGTGACTGCCTGCATTACCTAGAGCAGGGGTGCCCAACCTTTTTTGAACCGAGAGCTACTTTTAAAATTGCCAGTCTGCCGAGATCTACCAGTCCAAATAGAGAGGCGTAGCCATTACTGACCGCCTACTACCAGGTAAATACACACTTCTACTTGTATAAAACTGACCTTTGTACGATTAATACTTCATAAAATACTGCAGATCCTTTATCTTACCTCTTTCTAATCTACACACATACAAGTATTTAACTGAAGTTACACAACAGTGTTGGAGTTTATTCACACGTCACACTACAGTGGGTAATGTTTTCAAGAAACATTGAACAGTGCTGCCACATATGACACAGGGAAAAAGAAAAGACTCTGTCTGAACCCTTTCTTTGCCATTATATAAAAATAGTGTTGCTACAAAAGTATAAATTAGGCTTACTAATAAGACAACTCAGATCTGAAGCTACACAGGAATCTGCTGCCAAAGTGCAATAAAAAAGACAAAATTAATAGAATCAAACCCTTTTTTGTTGCATTTTAGTAGATTATAAAAATAAATGCCTTTTTTTAAAATAGGATGCAAGCAACACTAGTTTCTTAACCTGAATTGATAATAGACTATAATCAATTTAAGTTTGCATTCTTATACCATTTTGTACAATAATTATAATGAATAAGTTCAAACAAACTCAAACTTACAGCTGATTAATAACGGTATCTAACTTGAGTTTTTATCATATCAAAAACCTGTTGAAATGCTACTGTTGTTTTTATTACGCATCGGCAGCCTCCAGGAATGCTTCTTTGAAAGACTTGTGTTTCGCAAGAACGTGACTGACACGATAAGATGCTATGGTAGCAGCCTTGCTCTTGTTGTTGGGCCTGGTGAAAATGGACTGCTGTGCATTTAGCTGTCCTTTCAGGCCCCTCCCCTTTTGGAGCGTAGGGCAGAATTAGGAGGGAATTCCGTCTCGTAGCGTTTGTGCACTGTTTTGAAATGCCGCTCCTAAATGACCCTTCTTCGATAAAGCCACGCTCGCATTGCAGATGAGACAGATGGACTTTGAATTGGAATAGATACAAAAATAATCATCCTCCCACTCGGAGTGAAAATTATATATGTTTTGCTTCTGCCATAATTGCGGTCTTGTGTGTGTGCGTGTGCGGACTGTCACTCCTGTTGACACGGACAACGTTAGCGAACTAGTGCACTGCCCACTGCTCACCAGCCACGCCCCGACACATGGGGTCACGCTGGCCAATCACAAAGCTTTGATGCGTTCAAGTGCATTATTCTGGCACAGGAAGATTATGTTACGGGACATTAACGATAAAACCGAATATTGTTGTTCTATTTTTAGACACATCTCGCGATCGACTGGGAATCTCCGGTCGATCGCGATCGACTGGTTGGGCACCCCTGACCTAGAGCAATACACTAGAGCCCAACCAAAGGACCTAGTTGCCAACATCTGCCTCCAGCTCAAGGTTATCAAAGGGCAAAACAGCTGCTTAAAGAGCACTTTGGTAATGAACACAAGATCGCCACTGCATACATGAACAAAGCATTTACCTGGACAATGATCAAAGCCGAAGATGTGAAAGCACTGCAAGCCTTCTCTTTGTTCCTAAGAGGTTGTTGCAATGCAATGGAACATCTCACCTATATGGATGAAATGAATGTTGTTTCAAACATGAAACACATACTTCAGAAACTACCCTACAAACTCAGAGACAAGTGGAGGAATAGAGCATGTCAGCTACAGGAAGAGCGTGGGCATCGAGCTATATTTCCTGACCTTGTCAACTTTATAGAAAGGCAAGTGAAGATACTGTCAGATCCTCTGTTTGGAAGCATCCAGGATGATAAGCCAACTGCAGCTATCAAAACTGTTATCTCTACCTTTTCAAAGGGAAAACCAAGCCTAAGAGGAAGTAGTTTTGCAACAATTATTACCTGCCCAAGAACACCAGTGCTAGAACATGCAACAACGAATGGAATGAAAATACCTCCATCAACCACCAACTCCCTACATTTGTGTTTGTTCTGCAGAAGAAGTGGTCACTCATTGGAGCAGTGTCCACACATCCTGAAGAAAACACATAGAGAAAAAATTGACTTCTTGAAAGGAAAAGGGGTGTGTTTTGGATGCCTAAAAATAGGACACATGAGCAAACACTGCCACAGTCGTTTGACATGTTATGTGTGCAATCATCCTGAAATACTCCACTTTGAACAAAAAGGCAAAAGAGAGGAAGCAGAACACACAAAACAGAATGGGAAGCCAATGGAAAGTAATTGTACCATCTCACCTCAAACATGTGGGCACATTGGGGCCGGTGATGAAAACTCCATCTTCTCCATTGTACCAGTACAAGTAAAGAGCCACAAAGGGGACAAAGTGTTACAAACTTATGCATTTCTGGACCATGGAAGTTCATCTACCTTTTGCACAGAAAGTTTAATGAGGAGGCTAAACCTTACAGGACAAAGGACTAACATTCTCCTAAAGACAATGAATCAGAAAAAAATGGTGTCTAGTCATCATATCTCAGGTTTGGACGAAAACAATTTCCTTCAACTATCCGATGTCTTCACACATAAAACCATGCCTGTTTCCAAACACAATATTCATTTACAAGAAGATCTGGAAAAATGGCCTTACTTAAAGGACATCAAAATTAATGAAATTGCTTCTGGCATTGACCTACTCATTGGGACAAATTCTCCTAAGGTATTGGAACCTTGGGAGCTGATCAATAGCCAAGGAGAAGGACCGTACGCTGTAAAGACCCTACTGGGGTGGGTCTTCTACAGTGTTGGGACTAACGCGTTACTGTAACGCCATTATTTTTGGCAGTAACTAGTACTCTAACGCATTACTTTTTTAATTCAGTAACTCAGTTACCGTTACTCCGTTAGTTTTTTTATATAGTCAACAGCCAGGCGAACAGAGATGAGTAAATGTACTTCGATACTTCCTGTGTCACATGCGGAGACGCGCTGTGTTTGTGTTGTTTACTAACAAGACTATCATGGCGGCGGCGGAGCTCAAGTCTAGTTTCTCCACCTGGAGATATTCTCACTATTTCACTTTTGTCGAGCACAAAGACAAGAAAGTTTCTGTTAAATGTAAGTTGTGTCTTGGCGGGTCAAAGATCCGATCTACTGCCCAAACCAGTAATTCAAATCTCTTAAAACATCTGCAAAAACAACATTCTGGGACGAAGCTAGTAGCTAAGACCACAGAGACTCAGCCGACGCCACTCCACCTAAGCAACAGCGGCTGGATTTTAACCAAGGAACTGCTAGCCAGGGAAAAGTCGATAAAGCCATTGCCCGGTATGTTGTAGAACACATGCAGGCTATTGCTACAGTGGAGTCACCCGCTTTCAGGGAGCTAGATAGCATGTCCGGGCGGCACACGGTATATGGGACGGAAAACTTTTTCCAACTACCTGGAGAAAGAATATACAAAAATGGAAAGCCAGCTAATATCGATGCAATCCAGATTGCATATAATGCATGTGTAACCAATGTATAACTTCACTTGTTTATATTTCAGTAAAATCATTGTCCATACTTTATTTGTAAAACTTGTCACTGTCAGTTTATTTTTTAGATGCTTTTATTTTGAAAAGTACGTTTTATTTTGGTACTCATGGCACCGGCACATTTCTGCAGACTCGCGCTACTTTCCTCAGTTAGCTTCAGGCCCCACTGAGGAGAAGTAAGTGGAACGAGTGGTGTCATAAATGTTGTATTTTATATGTTAATAGATTGTTTAATGTTACACTTCACACAAGCCAAACCTATTTGCAGTTAATATCTATATTTTGCCGTGTGTGACTGTAGTTTATATAATGTGCAGCGCTTCAAACAGTGTTTGGGAGCTTTCTAAAGTTTAGCTATATGCTAACCTAACATGTGCGTGTTTTCTTCCACTGAAGGTGTGAAGTTAGAAAGCTGATGAAGCCATTTCCTGCTTTAATTATTATATTCTGTTTTGCACAGGTATGTGGGTATTCTTTTTGTATTTTGTAACTGTAAATTGTATTGTTTGTTATGTAAGTGTAAATTAATGGTTATATTTGTGTATATTGGTTTACAAGGAAAAACTGGTTTGCCACCATGGATAGATGTATATCTGTTAATTGTATTATTTAGAACTCTGTATACTTTCCTGAGTTAGCTTCAGGCCCCACTGAGGAGAAGTGTGAAGTTAGAAAGCTGATGAAGCCATTTCCTGCTTTAATTATTATATTCTGTTTTGCACAGAGAATAAATCCTGGTTGGCAAGAAAGAAGTCGTTCTCATTTACACAACATAACACAACGCAGAGATCACATGTGGCGTCAAACCAGACCGGTTACACATGTCAAGTTGATCAACAGATTGTATTCTCCAATGCAATAACAGTACTGAAAGGAAGGCTATAAGCAGGGGTGCACATAACTTTTTTGCCCTGGTTCTCAAAGGAGCACCTGGAGATGTTGCTTGGTGCTCATCCTTAAAATGAAATAAACCGTAACTTTTGAGGGGGTCTTGACTTTATTTGCCAGACACACGGCACTGAACACACATGCAGAGGTGAACACAGAACACACATGCAGTGGTGAACACAAGACAACATTAGCACAACCAGTAATCCTACAAGCTGTCATCACTATCCTCCTGACTGTCTTCCTCTCTGTCAGACATGGTAGCTGATGATGTAGGCCTACAACTTCCTCTCTGGTTGAGTCTGCGATTAGCTGCTTGCATCCACAAGTCAACAGCTGGTTTTGGGTCGAAAGTCTCTGTTGTCATCTTAGACAAGTGGATGTAATCACAGAAGTATGTGAACATAACCAATAACCTACCATAGCCAATAAAAAATTAATGTAACTTATTTTATTGTTGTTGTTCATATCTTATTTTACCTTAACATTTATATATTTATGCATTTTTTGTTATCTTTCCAGTTTTAAAGGATATTTTTGGTTTACTGTCCTATAGTATGCATTGGAATGATTTCAAACCTGTTTATCCCAATAATTATAAAGGAGTGCCTTGAAAATATGTGTTTACATAAATTGTGATCAAAACGTTTGAGACCCACTGAGACAACTTAGACTAAAGGGAACTATCTAAACACTCCACAGTCCTTTACCTCACTGAGCTGTAGTTATCAGCCTCAGTCTGACTGGAGAGGACTCTCCCTCCACATTATTGTAGAAACATCTTCTTCTTATATCCGTTAGAGCAGCTAGCACCAGATGCTAATAACAACAGCGCCGGAACCGGTGCACCCTCCCTCGATCCCTCGCTTACTCGCACTTTGGCTGTGAGCTGCGGGTGCCAGATAAGCCAACATCCCCCATTTTCATCACTTACAGCGCCCATCATACAGGGCAAATGAAACGTGTAACCGGGGTGAAAAGGGTGTTACATTTACTTAATTATGAATGTTGTTACATCAAGGCCGAAAATTAGGATGAACCCCAACGGTCAAAAAATTGTTTTTCCCTCCCAGAGCTGACAGCGCAGCGCCTGCCCGGATCTGGCGCCCTAGGAGAACATCTATTACGCCAGTGCCAGAGCCATATAATAGAAGAGTTACGACAACGGAAGTCCAAAAACGGTTATCGTCACGTGGTTCATGTAGAAGAGGATCGTTCCCCGGAAGTTCATGGCGGGCAATGTGAATGCATTGATAACAGGAGATAGAACTACGAGTTTTGGTAATTATTAGTGAATAAAGGTTTTGATTTGCAATATTTATACAACAAATCGATATGTGTATGTATTTACATCAATATGTTTTAAAAAATAAAATAGAATTTGCTAATATTAAGTGATAATATTAGGATTAGTGTGAACAACTAGTTTACATGTTAGGCTAACAGTGCCTTGGTTAAAGAGCCTGTTGCTGTTTATTTATAGCTTTGAATTCTTTAAAACCAATATTATCTTCTTAAACTTGTATGGTAGTCAGGAGCATAACTTTCTAATGTTTATTGATATATTTAGAGGGAGGGGATCTAAAGTAATGCTTTAAAATTCAGATTAGATTAATGTCTACCATTTTCTTAAATTCATGGTAGTTTCAGTAATCCCATGGTAATTGAGGACACAAGTTATCTAAATGACTAATGTCATCTTTATGGCTTTCAGAAAGGACAGGAGACCGACAGGTGACTATCAAAAGACTAGCAGCAGCAGCATGATGATGATGTTAAATGTGTTGTTTTAGGAACATCCATTGCAAATACATGGAATTCAATAAACATTGAATAGCATATCATGCAGTTTGTCTGTGCCTTTTCCTCCTTGTTGTCCTGGTTTGCTGTGCTGCCTCCTAGTCGCCACCATGGTTTGCTGTGCTGCCTGGGGATGCTCCAATCGCTCAGAGAAAGGAGTATGAATGTACAGCTTCCCCACTGACACAGAGCGGAGGAAGCAGGAGCAATTTCACGACCAACAGCAAAAAAATATGTGATTTATATACAAACACTGCATTTGCACTTTTTCACAAAACGAAACCACACCATTGGGAAAGCTTAATGTTTTGTTTAATACAAAAAACAGGGAAAGGCTTGAAAAACACTGAGAGTTGAGACTCAGGGTGCAGGGTGAGGGTCTCAGTGCAGGTATTCAGGCTCCATTGAATCCCCCTCTGGTTCTTGTGCTGAAAGAGGGAGTAACAGACAGGAGAAAGGGTTATGCACACCTATTGAATGGGAAATTGCCTTGGGGAGATAAGGTGTGGTCTTTGTTCCCAACTGAAGTTATGGAACTTTATTATTTGTGAGTTTAACAAAGTATGACAAATGGCATCAGTAACATATGTGATATGAATTTCTATAAAGTTGTCTCACATTCTTGGTCATATTTTATATACAGTATGTAATGAGTATAACATGTCCAGTAAGTATAAAGTGTTTCCTAATACTGTGTATTCAACCACTATGGAATGTGGGCAGACAAAACTGAGTTGTTCTGTGTGTGAAGTAACCTCAAGTCACTCCGCAGGCACATTTTGATGCAGACCAGTTTGTCAAGACAAAAAAGGGCAAGGCTGAGAGCAGAAGCTATACCCACCATCTTCGTGCATCGCCCTGTGGTCAAAAAGAGAAGGGCCCCTTCACCCCGGGACCTGTATCTACAAAGCCCATAGCTCATGATCACAGCGATAGTGTGAAAGGTGACACAGGTATATTAAGTATGAACTCTTAGTAACAAAAGTAATATTTCTAAGTGGTATAATATTTTAAATGTTCGAACATTTACAGTGCCATGTCTTCTACTTACATTAGTCTCAAAGATTGAGGGAAGAAGGGAAGGGATCACTGCCCTCCACCTGCCAGATTGGGGGAAAACAAAAACAAGCAAGGTGTCCCGTCATGTACCTGGAAGTTTGGGTTGGCAAAATGGAGTAAGAGAGGGACTTGAAAAACCTTGGTGGCTGTCTACTCATGTTATTACAGTTGTCTTGGTTACAGCTCTCAAGTTTTTTTTTTATGCCATTTCCACATCTTTAGAAAATATGAAAAAATTGAAGTGAAATCAACCTCATCTCTGGAGAACAAACTTTGATTTCTCTGTCTTGTGAGTTTGCAGTCTTGCAGTTTTGCTCCTCCACCTGTAACATCACTGCCCCTCCACCTGCCATACAGTAGGTTACTAACAAGATTACTTATATAATACAGTGATATAATACATGTTTAGTATGCTTACTTATATAAAACAGTAGTATTAAACTTACCTTGTGTGTTCACTCTCACTTAAGTTCCTCTCCCTTTGCCATCAATCCAAAATCAGCTGAGCTGCAACATTATACACACAGGTAATAATCAACATAATCACAAGGACACAATATGGCTCTGCTAAAAACACTCACTCTTACACGCACCAAAGTTATATGTATCTAATATTTAACTCCCTCCACCCCTGCATACAATCCCGTTTAGAAGCCCCTCTTCTCTAATTCAACAACGTTGGACCAAATAGACATTAAGAGAACGGAATTTACAAATAAAAGGCTGTTCAACGTGTGTTGCTAACTTGCTTCGGTATCCTAGCTTGATCTGTTATCTGTAAACGTTCCCTAAATCTACTAATTTAGGGATAATCCACTGACATCCTTTAATACACATGTTCAATTGAATCAGATGTACTGATAATATCCGCAATATACATCTTTAAACTTCTTCTTACCTTTAAAAGTCCGTCACGAACGGTCTATTATGCTGCAACTCCACAGCTCTGCTAGCCTTGGCGCTAACTTCCGGGGAACGATTGAGAGGCTCCACGATCCGCCATTGCTGTAAAAAAGTGGTCCATTGGAGTGAACGGAGATGTCATAACTCTTCTATTATATGGCTCTGGCCAGTGCTACGGAGCCGACCCTGAGTTCATATGCAACTCGCAAATATCTTTCTCTCTCTCCTCTCTTTTCTCTTCTCCCTTCTGTCTCTTCTCTCTCTCCTCTTTCTCTCTCAATGTTGGTACGCAAATGCGCCTTTTTTCAAATGACCCGGTGCTCATTTTTTGGCGGAGGTGCGCATGCGCACCTGCGCATCAGTTATGTGCAGCCCTGGCTATAAGGGCATTAATGGGAGCCATTTTTGTAAGTAACGAAAACGTTACTTTTCACAGTAACCTATTACTTTTTGTGTAAGTAACTAGTAAAGTAACTGAGTTACTTTTGAAATGAAGTAACTAGTAATGGTAACTAGTTACTGGTTTTCAGTAACTAGCACAACACTGGTCTTCTATGGTCCCCTAAAAGGAAGCAACGACAGCAGAGATGCTAATGGCCACCCTGCTGCTGCTGTCAATCGGATATCCATTGTACACCTAGAGGAGCTATTGGTCAAACAATACAATCATGACTTCAATGAAAATACAAGTAAGGAAACAGAGGAAATGTCCAGAGAAGACAAACAATTCCTGAACATTATGAATCACTCTGCAAAAACCACAGATGGACACTACTGCCTAGACTTACCATTTAGACAAGAAAATCCCAGCATGCCAAATAACCGATGCATCGCTGAACAGCGTATCCAAAGTCTGAAACGCAAGTTTGGAGAAAATGAGAAATTTCACGATGAATACACTTCCTTTCTAACGGAAATGATCAACAACTATTATGCTGAAATGGTACCAGTAAACCAGCTGAAGCCAAGTGATAACAAGCGCTGGTATATACCTCACCATGGGGTATATCACTCGAAGAAAGGAACATTAAGGGTGGTCTTTGACTGTGGTGCTGTCTTCAAAGGAACATCACTTAACTGCCAACTGCTTCAGGGTCCACAT